CAATCAGTGATCACATGATCGGGACCTCGTCCCATCTGACGATCGTTGTTTCACTGTGTCCGGAGGACACAGCGGGCACCGGATCGCGGTGCTGCGCGCTCCCAGGGAGCGCGCACAAGCAGGGTGCGGGGAGGCCGTTTATAAATGGCCACCCGACCCTGCAGTGCCACTGTCCGGCCGTTTATATACAACGGCCGGTTGGGAAGTGGTTAAAAGATGTTCTTCTGCAGATGTCAGCCTTATTTAATTAGCAAAATGAGCTGATCCACAATAGAGGTAACCTAAGATCCTCTGCAAAAGAATATCGGACAGAAAGCAATTTGAGAATACAAATGTCTTCTTAGGAGGATTCCATTCTTTGTAAATGAAGATGTCAAAAGGAATGATATGGAAACACTTCAACATTGTGCTTTTCCTTAAAAACCGAAGACAACCAGGGGTTCTTAGGAAGAAGCAGAAAAATCCACCATGTTAGGTGTATCACGAATTGCCTGAATTAAAGAGGATACCAATTCCTTTCCATAAAGGGGAAAAATAGAATCATCATTCTCGTTGTGTCTGCAATAGAAAGATGAGAATCATTATTGGGGTTCAGACGAGTGCCAATACTAGGAATATCTGGAACCTCACCTTCAGAAAAGTCTGAAGAAATAGGTGATTGGAGATATTTAGGAAATTCTTTACTGTCAGAATGGAAAATCTAAAATCAATCTTCTTGACTAATAACCGACTGGTACTGATTCAGTCAAAAGTTGTGTCTCTCAATAAACATAGCAGAAAAAAAGTTTCTGCTTTTGACCTGCTTTATAACAGCCTGGATGATATGACTGTAGCCTATGAAACAAAAATTCTCTGTCAACACCTACTTCCTTTTCATTATTAAGACAGGTACACACGTTACAGTGTGATTATATACTTCAGGCTCCATGCACACTAGCTTTTGTTCTGTTTTTTTAAGCTAAAACAATTCTGGAAAAAACATTGGCAATAGCGTGTTTTAGTAGCGTTTAGAAGTGTTATAATTTTATTAGCGTTTTTACAGAACATGTAGGGGGAAAAAAAAGCTAGAGAAAAAGGTGTGGTTTAGTAGCATTTAGGCGCATTCAGCGTTGTCTGCCAGAAAACCGCTCCCAAAACCATTTTGTTTCTGCTCCTAAATGCTGAAGTTTGAAAAACGTTAGTAGCCTAAAATATTGTGCAGGGACACATAGGGTAAATCTATTTAGCTTCTAGGAGCAGATAAAAATGCTATAATCAGATTGTACATGAACTTTACTTTACTACGTTACACTATATAGCTTAGGATGCAAGTTACAACTTTTATATCATTTTTCTCTTACATTTTGATTCAAATTGAGGCACAGTTTTATTGGTTCTCTGGAAAATCAATAGGGAAAAAAAAAAAAAACACAAACATTCAGGCATGGTTTGGTTTCAAACAACCTGAAGCAATTTTTAGAATTTAATGGTTTGTAAGCAAGCCCAAAGATGGCTAGATTTCTGTAAAATTCTCAGTTAACCGATTGTAACATATGTGGCCAGCTGTATTGATCTGCTGTGATCCCACACTTCACAAAGAACATTGGATAATGGGGATGGAAAAAAAAAAAAACTAAAAAAAAAAAAAAAGGGAGATGGAAGATAAATTAGTTAAAAAACAACTTGTGTGTGTATCCTAGAGCTCCCTCTAACAACATTTATGACATATTAATGATTTAGAAGTTTGACAAAATACACAGTCCATCCAGTACAAACTCTGTGTGGTTTTATTCTGCACATTTCAGTGCCACAAGTGGGTCTAGTCTTTGGTTTGCCAGATGAATGGAAGACAAGGAGAAAGGACTTTATGGTGGAAATATTTCTAGTTAAGTGATCAGTTTTGTTTCCTCAGAAAAACTGCAGCTGTCAACTGCAATCTCAAAAGACTGTTTGATCGCTAGTGTGCAGGCTTCTAAGCCAGCTCCAGCTCCCACTTCAGCTTACTTCCCCACACTTACTAACATGTTCAGGAGTGACTTTGAACTAGCCTTCCATCCAATTCATTTACTGGAACACCCAGTGGTAACTGTGTGAGCTGAACCTTTACCCTCCTTACTTCTTGGCATGCTCAAGGGTAAATGTTTTTGGACTGCGTGTCCCCCTTCACTACCTTACATGATCAGTAGTAATTTACAAGAGTCTATACCAACCCAATTCACAATTTATCACCGCTGATGACAGGGAAAGCAGAGCTACAAAGAGAAAGTTACATTAAAATTAAGAAGCTTCCACTGCCTGCAAACAGTGAGGATAAATAACTCCACAATGGCTGCAACTAGAGGTTAGTGTGGGCTTGCCAAGGGAAGAGATGTTTAAAGATACTGCACTTCTGTTATAACCACTTCCCGGCAGGCTGTACGCATATATGTGACATCTTGGCGGGTGTGTCCTAACGCCGAGCGACAACATATATTGCCTCATGCAAACAACTTAACGTACTGAGAGCGCTCTCCCTGCACGGTAGCCAGTGGGGATCGGTGACAGCTGTGACACCCAATCACAATGGTCACATAACCGGAATGCCCGCTTCCCAACTTTAAGAACTCTTAAAGGACTGGAAGGCAGGAAGCAGAGATAAGGTTATCAATTCTTTGCTTGACCTCCTTTTATGCCAGGCCATAGACAGGTCGTTTATCGGCCAAATTTTTGTCCGCACGAAAAAATCGGCAGATATTCACGCCGTTAGTGGGGCCAGACCGTCGGACGTTTTTCGTGGATCCTTTTGTTTATTTTTATCGGTCATGCTGGAAAATCCACGAAAAACGGCCATTTTTCATGGACATTGGTGGCAGCAACGGGGCTGACCGATTTTTCATTTTATCGGCCAACAATTCGGCCGACAAACGGCCCATCTATGGCCAGCCTTAGTGTTCTTCTTTGACTGTCCTCTTCCAGTTCCACTTCCACCATCTGCAGCCATAATCTTCCAGTGCCACAGAGGTTTATAGATCCAGGGGACCTGTCACAAATACTCATCAAGAGTGCTGGCTTTGCCTCCTCTTTCTGCCCACTCATAGGTGGTGTACTACAGCACCTAACGCTAGTACACTGCACCTACAGTGTATAAGACCCACAGCCATCAGCCAATGGAACACCACGTTAAGGGTCCATGCACAACTGGCTTAAAAAAACACTACTCCTAGAAGAGTTTAGTATTTTGCCTGTAGACGCAACTAATGTTACCCTATCTGTCCAAGCATATTAGGTTGTTTAAAGGCATATTTTAAGCTCAGTGTTTAGGCAGAAAAAAAAACCCGTTTTGCATATTTAGGAGAGATTTTCTTGCAGAAAAAATGCCAAGTACTGCTAAATGCTAGTACAAAAAATGCTCCCAATTAGTGTTTTTTTTTTTTTGTCAAGAGCCCTGGCGTCTTTTCTAAGCCAGAGTTCATGGACCCTGACTCTAAGTACAGTTCCTTGCGCCGATAACATTTTAAAAAATTTTTTTTTTTAAAACCTAAGCTTTATCCCTTGCAGTGCTGGAACAGCAAGCTACAAGGGGGCACGTTTCCTTTCTATTGAGTTCAGCTTTAAGCCAGACTTGAAAAGAGTTAGCACTCTGTCATAATTTTGTTATTTTTTTTTATAAATCCTTGTGGTTTATGCACATCTTTAAGACTCTTGCTCACAGTACAGTAATAAACAATGTTTAAGGTACAAGTCGCAATTGTGGCACGTGTGCAGTGTACACTGAGAAGGCTATTTAACCATGCCCCTGTAGGCATAGCGCAATATTCAGTTAATCCATGCCACAATTTTTTCAACAACAAGGTGTTCCTCTTGCTTAAATTCCAGTAGTCACAGATTTTCTGCAATGTCCATAGTCTGGTTACTGACACCAACTACTGATAACATATATTCGGTCGGCATCATAATATCTATGGCTTATTTACTTAGGCATTAACAAACATGAACACTCCATACAATGAGGGCACCAAAATCCCATTACTTCAAAAACCAAATGGACGTCTTAATTTAAAATTCCCAGACAGAGCCTACACAACTAGATTTCTCTTGTTCAGCCCCAGAGGCTGAACAGGAATAGCCCCTTGACTCCCCCATCCATGGTAAACAGTGTGGATAGAGGAATCTTCCCTGATGGCTATTATAGTCAGTCAGCACCTGCAGCTGTCTGGATACCTGAGCAATCACTTAATCTGACTGGATGCAGTGAATGTTCAGCTTAAGCCGACAGGGCCACCCACAGCTTGAATTGTGTCCAATTAATCAGCAATTAGATGAAAACCAAGCTGTGTATGGCTAGCACTAGTGAGAGGTCTTAAGAGTCTAGAGTTGTATATGCACATAAAAAAAAACAAAACAAAAAAAACACAACTTTGGTGAAATACATAAGCTGCCCCCTTTAGAAGTCTTTAGAGTGGTTCTAAAGGTTGAAGGTTTTTACCCGCAAGCATTCTATGCATGGAGGTAAGAGACATTCTGTGTGAAGACCCCACCCCCTTCCCCAATACTTACCTGAGCCCGATCTTGTTTTGATGCAGCGATGTGCACGAGAGGCACAGAGACAGCAGTGGCAGACATTTACTCCCACTGCGGTCAATCACAGCCAGTGTAGAGGAAGCAGGAGGTGGGGATGAGCCACTCAAGGGAGAGCCTGCACCAGTGCCCCCATAGCAAGCAGCTTGCTATGGGGGCACTTGTCCGGGAGAGGTGATAACCCAGCAGTGCAGGCAGGGGACTCAAGAAGAAGAGGTTCGGATGCTGCTCTGTGCAAAACCATTGCACGAAGCAGGTAAGTATGACATGTTTGTTATACAAAAAAAAAAAATTTCCTTTAGTATCAATTCACCTATTTGTAACTCACTGAATATGCTTGGCAATATGATAAAATGGAAAATATTTCAAGACAAAAAGGGTTACATTTTAGTCTGAGGCTCACAAATGAAATAGGGTCAAAAATTAGATGCGTTCTATTTTGAGAAGTATCAGTGATATTTACCTGTGTGAGACACTCTATGCAAGTTCTTCTTCAACATTTCATACAAAGGACTGAAAAAGAAAAAAAAAAAAATATTAAAAAAAATAAAAAGAAAGTTTTGCTTCTAGGTTTATACAGGTTCAGTACAGTGATCACTTTTAAAAAGATTATGTGACTATTATTGCATCCTATGCAAATACTGGACATGACAAAACAATTAACCTTCTGTGGTTGTATTCTCTGCAGAACCTTGCAGTAAACAATGTATGCCTTATGCATACCTATACACCCATGCAGTGAAAAGTAAAAAACTCACATAACGTCTCCTCTCCCCAGAAACTTATATTTACATTTCATAAGCTCTCAATATACTTAATTTGGCTATTGCAGGCAAAAGGACATAGATATCCATTATTCCTGTAATTTTTTGAGTACCGAACAGAAATCTCAATGTTATCCCCTACTCCTTAACCACTTGCCGTCCGCCTGCTGTTTATAAATGGCAGGACGGTGGCACTCCAGGGGCAGGTTGCCGTTCTTAAACGGCACCCGCCATTTCTAGCTGTGCGCGCTCGCTGGGAGCGTGCAGCACCGCGATCCGGTGCCCGTTGTGTCCTCCGGACACAGTGAAACATCGATCGTCGGACGGGACCTCTGTACGAGGTCCCAATCATGTGATCACTGATAGGCCAATCAGTGACCACATGCAAAATAGTAAGCAAGATGTCACTTGTGACATCATTGCTTACTACGTGTGAAATCTGTGAATGATCACAGAGGTCACATGGTACAAGGCTATTCACAACAGCCTTGTACCATGTGACAAGCTGTGATCAATCACAGCTCACTCAGTATTTCTCAATGGCTGCAAGAATGCAGACAGAGAGAAAGAGAAATGATTGCTTTTACATCCTATATGGGTGTAAAAGCAATCACTGTATAAAAAAAAAAATCTTCATCACCCCCCACAAGTAGTACAGTGTCACCATGGTGACACTGTACTGCTAGGGTGACAGTATGTAAAAAAAAAAATATATATATAAAAAATAAAAATTAAAAAAAATGTTTAAAAATTATAATTTTTGGTTATAAACTAATTTGGCTTATTTTTTTTTTTTACTAAAAAGATAACGGAATACATTTCAGCCAAGATTTATGATGAAAGATTATTTGCAAAATTTTATAAGAAAAACACTTTTCTTTCAACATTTTTGGACTTTTTTATTTACATAGCAAAAAAAAATAAAAATCCCTGCGGTGAATAAATACCACTAAAAAAAAGCTTTATCTGTCTCAAAAAAAATGGTAAAAAATTCATATGGGTACAGTGTTGCATGACCGCGCAATTGTCAAAGTGTGATAGCGCTGAAAGCTGAAAATTGCCCTGGACAGGAAGGGGGTAAAAGTGTCCGGACAGGAAGTGGTTAATGGTGATACAGAGGGGAATTTGTAGAAGAAAAAAAAAGGAGCAGTTTAAGCCAGCCATAGGTGGTTCGAATCTCATTCGGTTCAGCAGGGACCAGCTGAGATTCGATCCATCAATGGACAGGCTGATTGTACCCAAGTCGATCAATCGATCGACTTGGGTACAACCAGCAGGTTGGATTTCAAGCATGTGATTTTTGCCAGCAGCTATAGTCACTAGCAATTATTGTGTTCTCCAGGCAGGGAATGCTCCCTGCAGACAGAAATGCCAGAATAACAGGATTGCCAGATAAAGTACATCTATGGCCAACAACCAAAAACATTAATTTCCACATTGAATTTCAATTAGTTCTAGCCTACTCCTAAGGACAAATTTGAAGACTGTAAATTTACTTTTTGAATAATACCACGGGATTTACTTCCTTTACTGAAGTAACACATTCACTATGCTCTGTAAATATGCACTGCTGTGCCACCCATTTCAAAGAGCCCACCATCTGAACTACAGCTATTCGGCACGGGTGCCGCAAAGCAACTGTTTCAGGAAGCAGGCCTACCAAATGTAAAGCATAGAACCTTGAGGGTGGTTACATCTCCAACAATCGGACGGAATTAAAGGATGAATTCTATGGAGCCACCGCATTAGTATTTTGTATCTCTTTTCTTGAACTGCTGCAGATAGGCAGGCATTATGCGTAAGAGTATAGATCTTATCAAGATCAGCCACAGAGATAGTGACTTCTAGCTCTCGTTACCAATCGCTTATGTAATAAGGGGGCTCCGAGTATGAATGATTCAAGAGGATGGAATTAATTTGTGCTATGTGTGGGTTGTCTGTCTTGTGAACAAAGATGCTCAAAAGAGGTCAAATCCCTGTTCAGAGTAGCCATTCGGAGGAAAGTGAGGAGACAAAGTCCTGAAGTTGGAAGTATAGCCACCACCATCCTGGGGCATGAGGTAGGTTAGACAAAAGTGCAGCCAGAGGACATAGTTTGTCACGTTGCAAAGCTGAACAAACAGGTGACTTCTTGGCTCGGGTCCACCCAGGAAAAGGGGATACTGTCAATTCCAGGCCAAACATGGGGTTACCTAGAACTTAAGGTTAAGGGGCCAACATGAGTAGAGGCATGCAGGTCTTTGAGCAACAAGTCCCATGTACGCAGGAGAGATGGTATGCAGAACGGCAACATCGTGATGGAATGTCTCCTGGAGGGAAGCATCCAAGGAGCATGAGTCTTCTCAAGGACCACCCAGTGCTTGACCGCATCATGACGATCCAGTCTACAATGAGTTAGGAGTACAGCCTTGTAGTAATATGGTAAATGGGGTAAACCCAATCTGCCATCAATTTTCCTGCGCATCAGAAGGTTATAGTGGAGCCTCAGGGGGGATCCAACCCAAACAAAGCGAAGAATGGCTTACCGCATAGTGAAGAAAAAGGAGGAGGGGATAGACGGGAACAAAAAAAAAAAAAACCCAGGACAGTATGGAACAGGTACAGAAAGTGGAGCATATTTTAGAAAGGGCCGCTCAACTGAGCCACGAATGTCTCAATGTAGACCAGAGACGGGAGAATTTTAATTAATATAATTCAGGCACATTTGCAGAGATCTGAACACCAAGGTATCGCATAGATTTCATGGCCTACCGAAATGGGAAGGAACTGGACAGTAGTCGAACTCTCGTCGGCAAACAAGGTAAAGTTAAAGGCTGTAGATTTGTGAGGGATAACATTAAAATTACTAAGAGTGTGAAAAATGGCAAATTCCCATAGAAGCAAGGGCAGGGCAACCCCAGGGTTTAAGATGCATAAAAGATGATCGTCAGCAAACAAATTCATTTTGCAGTTGTTCACCTTTTCAGAGCCCCTGTAAGTCAGGGTTCCTGTGGATAGCTTGAGCCAAATGCTCCATCGCCAGAATATATAAACAGCGGCGATAGGGGACAGCCCCAACGTATCCCTCTGCAGATACGTATGGGCTGCATAAGAACTCTGTTTACACGGATGCTGGCATGAATACAATACTTTAAAAAATGTTTATACAAGAAAACTTATTCCTGCGCCAAGACTTTCCAAATAACACTCTAAAAATGCTGCTGTGCCAATCGTGAAAACACAAACAATATAAATATAAATAAACAGCGCAAATTTAGATAATTAATCAATATAATAAATCATATAAAATAGGTGCATAAATTATTCGTGTTTGCCCTTAATCTTAAAAAACACCCAAAAGTCCATGTGCTGAAAACATAATTAAATTGTAGAAATAAAAGTGCCAACTTCTTTTCTTCAGAAAATACTTTCACCTTCCACCAGTGCACAAACCAACATCTAATACACTCACCAGAACTTGGTGAGAAAAGGACCTTTAAGGAATTTTTAGGGATCCTAAACCCTCTTTGGTGCCACGCTAGGGAAAATCTTCACCCTCCGAATAGACTCCACCATCCAACCAAAAGAAAAAAACTCACATAGCATAATATTGTCACACAATAGTAACTTTTTCCAAATGGAGATTAAGGCCACTCACATGTTAAACACTTGCTAAAGACATGTTTATTATGTATAAAAGGCTTCAGTTCCAGCAGATATACAAACTCTTCCTTCCAGGACTCTCACATCCACAGTGGAACAAAGACAGGACTCCTCTTAGACCAAACAGTGAACCAAGATGGCTGCTGGAACGCACCGCTCAGCGTGCGCTCCACTCACCGGAAATGACGTCAGGCGCATGAAGTGTGGACCGGAAATGCGCATTTCCGGTCCACACTTCATGCGCCTGACGTCATTTCCGGTGAGTGGAGCGCACGCTGAGCGGTGCGTTCCAGCAGCCATCTTGGTTCACTGTTTGGTCTAAGAGGAGTCCTGTCTTTGTTCCACTGTGGATGTGAGAGTCCTGGAAGGAAAAGTTTGTATATCTGCTGGAACTGAAGACTATTATATATAATAAAAACATGTCTTTAGCAAGTGTTTAACATGTGAGTGGCCTTAATCTCCATTTGGAAAAAGTTACTATTGTGTGACAATATTATGCTATGTGAGTTTTTTTCTTTTGGTTGGATGGTGGAGTCTATTCGGAGGGTGAAGATTTTCCCTAGCGTGGCACCAAAGAGGGTTTAGGATCCCTAAAAATTCCTTAAAGGTCCTTTTCTCACCAAGTTCTGGTGAGTGTATTAGATGTTGGTTTGTGCACTGGTGGAAGGTGAAAGTATTTTCTGAAGAAAAGAAGTTGGCACTTTTATTTCTACAATTTAATTATGTTTTCAGCACATGGACTTTTGGGTGTTTTTGTTTAAGATTAAGGGCAAACACGAATAATTTATGCGCCTATTTTATATGATTTATTATATTGATGAATACAGTACTGAATTAAAGTGTTTCTAAAGCCTAAACATTTCACCTTAATACAGTCCCTGCATTAAAGGTAAAGTTTAGGTATTCGTATCGCCCTCTCAATCCCCTTATACTTATCTGAGCCCCAACTTGATCCAGCGCTGTGCCAATCTGTAGCGTCTCTCCCCGTTCTCACAAGCTTTGCTGAGGCAGCAGAAGCCATTGGCTCCTGTTCCTGTCAAATCCTGTAACGAGGAAGTGGGGGAAGGGGCCAAGCTGCGCTGTGCACAGTTAGGTCCATATATATTT